CACTGATATTGCACCCACTTTTTTCCCCATACATTTTTCCTGTCTTTTTTTTCAGTTCTTCTTTTGCCATTTTTCAGTTTGTGTCAGGTTTAATAATTGTTAAAATTAAAAAAAAAATTAAAAATTTAAATTAAAATATTTTTTATTAAAAAAACAAAGGAAAATAAAAACAGAACACCAACTGCACAACTTTAAGAGGTAAAAATGAGGGAGGTTCAGAGGGATCCATTCCAGAAATTTCTGTAAGTTATTACATTCTCTGATGTCCTTGACTGTATGGGATATAGAGAGACAGAAACTAAAGTATCTGAAATGTCAGTATTTAAACTATTCATAGTTTGAAATGACTGCTTTTATACCCAAATACCCACTGGATACACAGTTTGAAATATGTTGCCAGACTCAGGAAAGACACCTTTTGACAATGAAAAGCATTCTATATTCTGGCTAGAACATTTTGGGTTTGATCTCTTTCCTAGGACATCCAGTGGACACAAGGCCATCTTGAAATCTCCTAAAACATCCCCAATTTCTGCTAACCTGTTCCCTCATTAACAATTTCCAAGCAATAACGTTCCTCCAGGGTAGCACTTGCCATTTCCAGTGGTCCTGCAGTTATTCCTTGCACGTGGATGTTTCAGCTCTAAGACTAGGGATCAATTCAATCCAACTACACCTAATTAAGTAAATAAATAAACAGTCCAGCAAACCTTTGCTGAGGAGTTAAATGTTCTGCTACTGGTAACAAGGCTCCAAAGCCATTCAGCAAGATGTTTGTCTTTCCTCTCAAGTGTAGGGTAGAAGGGCAGGAAGAGATGTTGGGTCTCTTAAAAAGAATTTATGAAAGAGCTGCCTGCAACCAGCCTGCACCACTCTCCATCATTAGGAATAACAGGCAGCTGTGACTCTTCCTTCCTTCATGGCTTCCTTCCCTCCAGATGTGGCCCTTTGGGGCTCCTTCCCTCCAGATGTGGCCCTTTGGGGCTCCTTTCTCACTGCTGTCCCAGAGAAGACCAAAAGTTTCCTCTTCTGCCCAAGGTCTTTTAATTTTTTAATTTTTAATTTTGTTTAGCCTTAGTTTCAAAAACCCAGTTCAAAAATCAAAATTCAGAAAGTGAATTCTCAAGCAGAACCAGGCTGAGCAGGGCAGCCAGGACCAGCTGCAAAGGCAGCTTTTCTTTAGAGGTGACATGAAACACAAATTTAATAGCAAACAGAGGCCTTGGGCCAAATGTGACATCTCTCAAACCTGAGACATTGTTCTCACTACAATGTGGCCTCAAATCATGGAAGCAGGTTAATATTAGCCTGTTCAGACAGATTTTCAGTCAAGATCTCACTCAGAAACAGCTGGAAGGAAAAGTCAAATTAAAAACACACTTTTGTTTCTTAGGGGTTTTTCCATTTTAACCTAGACCTGAAGCTGCGAGTACAGGTTCTGATCCAAGTGCTCCAAATTCAGGGCCAGAGGAAATTGTTTCCACTCTGCCATTGAAACCCAGTCCCACTCTCTCCCCATCTTCCCAGAGAAATGAAGTTTCTCCATAGATCCACTTCTTCGTCTGAGCTTGCAGGTGACACTGCCCATCTTTGAGATGAGGAGCTGGGATTCCAAACTGATTTACAAAGCCAGTGCTGAGTAGATGAGCAAAATGAAATCATAGCTGCCTGACCTGCTTATACACTCAAAGGCCTTAGGGGGGAAAAAAATCAATTAATCAATTTGTTTATGGAGGCAACTTAGCAACAGGGAGCAAATGGAACTGATTGGCTGGGTCTGTTAATAAGCAAGCTGAATTGCAGATAGTTGCATCAACTGATTTCAAATTTTGGGGTATTGATTTTTGTTAAGAAGATTCATTTCCACTGACCCTCCTCCCAGAGAAAGAATCACTGTTCCTTTATGCCAAAGGAGCATCACACTGCGATTAAGAATTACCACGTTAGCACTTCAAGGAAATTTAGGTACACTCAGGGTTTCTAAGCCTGGGCTTAAGCAACAACTTGTCTGCTACCCCCTTGCTTTGTGGAGGTACCTCAGGAGACCTCCTGAGAGGTCTTGTGGAGTGCTTGTAAGATGCTACAGGGCAAATGTATTTTAAAATAGTCATATTATTTGCTAAGTGCCTGTTTCGTGTTAAAAAGAAATTAATTTATGTTCAAAATCCCAGCATTATGTTCAAAATTCTTGAAAAACAAATATTTTCTGTAGCTTTAGTTAATATTTTAAGTTATCTCTTTAGAGGGGCATTTGAAGCCTATGATGTATGTGAGTTTGCAGTAGAGATGGTAATTGGAATTACAAGTGGTATTGGACATTACAGCCCACAACCTCTCGACAGGCAGAGATTGGCCTCGGGGAGCCCTGTGCATCCACACACCCACACCCTGGGAATTTCTGGCTGTCAGTGTCACCATTCTGCACACAACACCTTCATTCCCTGCTCTCTCCACCCCCAGCCAGGTGCTGACTCCTCACTTCCACTCACCTCTCCAAGGCACGTTCCCCTCAGAGCTGCCCCTTTGCAGGTGACTCTCTCAGGGATACTGGACACTGCAGCATCCTGGGGATGTGCTCCAGTGCCCCAACAGAGACATGGGCTGGTGCAGGACATGCAGCCTGACCCTGTGAAGAGATCCTGTCAGGGCTCATACCTCATGTAAACCACACATTCACCTTCAAACTCAGACGTAAAGCAAGTGCTGAGCCTGAACAAAGGTTTATCTACCTCAGCAAAGTCCCAAAAAAATCTCAAAGAGAGGGGAGCTATCATCCCATCCCAAGCACTGCTGCCAGAGGGCCAACAGCTTTATTGGGAGGCTCCATCCCGCTAGAAGAGATGCTCTTGGGTTTCTTTCTCTGCTCCCTCTCAGAACCTGGTGCACGATGCACACATTTTATTTCTTCTTCTGACTGAACAAGGCTGCCCATGATTATAAATCATCCTGGTGATTTCTTTGGAGAGTTCGCCTCATTTATGCCCATGACCTCATAGCCTCCTGATACCTTTACTTACATCAGGACTTCTCCCACAGCAGGGCCGTTTATTGTCATTCTCCTGACACCAAAGGGGCAGAGGGAAAGGAACTATAGGGACTCACATCTGAGATGTAAAAAATATGAGTTTCAAACAAGTATAAACAAATGAGAATGTGAATGCTGGGAGCACAAGATCCAGCTCTGAGTTTCTGCAGAGGCCCTTTTATTTACTGAACATTTATGTGTATACGAATATTCAGCCCTTGATAGAGCAAAGAGCTGGTTTTGATACTAACAGCAAAAATATTTGCTGTAAATGTCATGACACGCCTTGTCCATAATATGATTTTTTCCAGATGGTTATTTTTTTCAAATTACTGAATGGAAAAATATGTCTTAAGACAAGCACACATAAAAATAATTCTTTTTCCTATTATTGTTCCTTTTTTTTTCTTTCTTTCTTTCTACATTTGTAAAAGTGCTGCTGCTTGCCATGGGATGATATGCTGGGAGAGCACATATATCCTGACATCTGATTAATCATGAAAAGGGGTGGGTGTGTAATCCTTAACTGACAGGGCAGCTGACCAGGAGCTGTTTCATTACATGAAATACAAAAGTGTACATTATTTACACCCTCTTCAAGGTGGTTTCTAAGACCAAAATATTTCACTGAGGTTGGCCATGACTCCAAGTGAGACCATACCTCTTTTGTTAGCAGGGAGACAAACCTCATCCATCTCATTCTGGATCCAGAATGATCTCAGCTGGCAGTCCCACCCAATACAGCAGCTGATGATCCTCTTGATCCTGATCTTGATTTATTAAATTTGGTGTTGGTGAGGTTGTGCCAGATGTGGCAACATCCCACTCTACAGTGTGTTTTTTCCCGTGGAGAAGTGAAACCAGTTGAGTTCTGCCCACACAATCTGTGCTGGAGAGAAACTTATCCAAGACAGGATTATGCTGGGGTGGAGAACAGACTCCTGAATAGCAATGGCACCAGTTTGGGAAGATTCCTCCTGACAAGCATCATGCCATGCTTTCTACTTGCTCTGTTATTCCTGGGAGGCACAGTGACCTGGCAGGCCAGGGAGTGAAGGCACAGGATTTTGGTGATGGAGTACAGCAAAGAGTCCCCTGCAGTAGCTGGAAGGTGGAAGAGGAATAAACAAGCTCTGGGCTGCCCAGAAAGAAAATGAGGGCCAGATCCAGGCCAGGAGGTTTCCCCTTCTGTTCTGCAGACATCCAGCTTCTGCCTTTCTCTGAGAGCTCAACAGCTTTTTGTTTAGCAGCTCCCATCAGCAGGTAGAAGACAAACCACTCATTTCTTCCCTGCCCAGCTGTCTGCCTAGCAGGGCAAGAGGTGTGGGCCCCACGAATGGAAAAGCTGCTGCAGGTACAGTCTGGGTTCATGTATTAATTCCATGTGTGATGCTGAGTGACAGCCTTCCCCAGCCAGGAGTGGGGGCGTTGGCTGAAGGGATCACTTAACACCAACTCCAGATCAGCTTTCTAGCTTGTGGCACAAATCTGAGTCTTGCAGCTTGGTTCTGGCAAGGTGATGAGCAGCTTTGGCTTGGGCAGGAGTTAAGAGCATTTGGAATTTTTCAGAAAAAAAGCCCTTAATGCAAACCAATTAGTGGAGTATGAGCCCAGCAATTTTTCTTCTGTAAAAAAAAAAAAGAAAAAAAAAAACCCAAAAGAACTTTGGAAAGGGGATAGAAGGGCAAAGTTCAGAGTGGTTTCAGATTCCCACAATAACAAAGAAGCCCAGCTCTTTCCCAAACACTTGCACATTTCCTTAGAAACAGGTGACAGACATCTGCAAGGCTGAGTTCAGCGTTGGAACAGCCCAGCCTCCCTTCCTTGGTTGTGGGTGTTCTGCTCTTACAAGACTGAAAGAGATTCAGCTTAAATATTTCCAGACAATGCTGCAATTTATTTTAAGTGTAATAGGGGTCATTCTGAAAGAATATAATAATTTTTCTGTGTGAAAGCAAGAAGACATGTGGGGAAGCGGTAGATAGCAGGACTTTCACCCACCCAAGTCACAGTTAAACAATTTCCTCATGTCCCCACATCTTGAGTGTCACTCTCAGGCCAGAAATCCCAGCACCAGCCACCAAATAACACAGGATCCTGTCCTTGTGCTAGTTATTCCATATTCACTAGGGGAAGGGCTCTCTGGGAGTCAGATGCTTTCCCTGATCCTGAACAAACTGTGGGTCTCATCAGCTGTGTTAGGAAAGAAACATGTGAAGAACAAAAGGGATGAAAATGATCATCCAGCAGCAATATAAAAATAAATACCCTGCCCTGCTGAGGCTCAGACAAATATCCACCATGAGCAGCTTCCTAGTTTACTGCAGTTTGATGGGATAACACTTGTCATCCTGGTTTCCTCCCTCTTAATAGGCTGATTAGGGATGGCAAAAAGATCAGGGACGGAGGGATACAAACCCCTCATCATCACCATCCCCCAAAGGATGAAAATACAAGAGAGGGGAAGCTCCATCTGTCCTCAGGGAAACAGAGGCTTCTTCCACCTGTGGTGAAAAGAGGGAGAATCACCCATTAGTCACTTCATCTTTCTGTTCCTGTGTTTTCCCAGTGTAAAACATGACCAATAATACCTCCTTTGCAATGTACAGAGCAAGACACTGTAATTAGGGAGGTGATGTTACTGCAGAGCCTTTGGAGCACTCCCTGTCTACCCCAAACTCTACATTTGAAATTTTGTCTTTCAATCTTGACCAGCTCCAGAGAAAATAAAACCCATTTCTAATCAAGTGGGTGAAAAGCCAAGACTCAATCACAATACCTGACTGCCAATGAAAAAGCTTTTCTTTCTATGAATCTGATACACATTCAATTGTTTCTAGTGCTTTATTCAGGAAATGTTTCGGTTGGAAAGTATCATTACTTAGAGAGAAAAATAAAAATACCATAGATGGTTTTAAGCTCTACATCTGTGGAAATCTCATTAGGTAGTTTTAGATGTACTGGCATCTGGAAAAAATCATCCCTCTAAACAGAAAAATATGTCATAAATGTCATAATGGGGTGTTGGAGAAGCACATGAAATTAGTTTGGTTCTTCAACTCAGCATCTCTGGCCGGAATCATTAAAAAGAAAATACTTGTATAAAGCATTAAAGAGTTTTTGTCAGGGTTTAGTTGTATGGACCAACCTGGAGTCTGAAGAGCTCTGAATACCTGATTTAAAGATGTAAAACTCTGGAGAGCTACAACAGGTTGGAGCCTACCCAAACGTTCACAGAAGGTGAGTACAAGTAGAGAGAACCCCACAGCCTGGAAGGGCTCTTTCAGCAACGGGCAGGAGCTTTGCTCTCACCAGTGAACTGTTCTCAGTCTCTGAGGGACATCGCTGCTCTGTCCTCCCTCACTGGATGTTTGCATCACCCCAGGCCAGCATCACCTTCAGAGAAGCCCTGCCTAGAGCCAGGTGTTGAAGGATCTCAGCCTCTCTTGGGGTGAACAGAGGTGGGAAATACTCTGAGTTGGTGGACTGGAACTGTCTTCAGCCCCTCAGGGACCTTGTCTGCTGGCAGCACAGTGTCCTGCCCAGTGCTGCTCTGCACAGAGCTGCACAAATGAGGAGCTCACAGAGCTCTGAGTGTCCCCGAGCACAGGGGACAGGAGGATGTTCATAAAATGGGATGTTCACAGCAGAGTGCTGTGAACATCCCATTTATCTCCAGCTCCTGGGAGAGCTGCATGTCTCCTTCACTGCTTTTAGGCTCTGTCTCAGTTGAGCAGTCACTGATCTGGGCTCAAGGCTCCTTCAGATGCCGCATGCACAGCTCCCACCATCCCCGAAGAACCCAGGAGCTCAGTGAGGAGTTCTTCAGTGCCCTCTAAAGGCCCCTCTCCTTGAGCTGACTCACAGACATGCTGAGCAAATGCCCTTGGAACACCCTGAACCTGTCCCCAAGCAACTTCCAGTGCTCCTAGAGCCACAGGTATTTTTGCAGGGATGGCTGCAGCAACCAAAAGCTGTTTGCTGATGGGAGATGCTTCACTTCTGGCTGCAGCAATCCCTTGGTGCTGATTGCTGCTTTGTTATTGCAGATTATCTCATCAAAATTAATGTGGGTGTTAAACACCGGCCCTACAGGCCTTCACAAGGTGCACACCAAGAAGGTAGAAAGCAACTGGAGACACAATTTCCTTGGGCAGTCTGTAAAAGGCAAGCCATGATCAGAACCGGTCATTAAAAATCCTGTGGCAATCTCCGCAGCAGAACATTCGATCCATTGTCCCAAATCTAATCATTACACTCTGCTCCCTGCCCATTTAGCATCCTTCTAGTGTTTCAATTGGGGATGGTATTGCAGTGCATTTCCTGACCTGAATAGTTTAACGGATCATAATTGTCTCATGGTTACTTCATGCTCCTGCAGTCGGTTTGTTGTATCCATCTGTTTTCTTTTTTCTTCCATGCAAACTGTAAGGTCTTTGGGGCCAATGGCTGCCACTGAGCCCTGTGTTAATACAGCACCGAGCACAGGGGGCCTGATTTTTAGGTTCAGCAGCAGAACAACCCATAATTAATAAATGGTGGCTCGTCTGTTGCAAGCAGAAAAGCAGCGCAGCAATCTGTCAGGGTATAGAGGAGGAGGGTGTGACCTCTCCCATCAGGCCCATGTCCCTGGGGATTCTCCTGATCATCCTCATTTTCTTTGGAAAAGTTATGGTGCCGATCAGTTTTTTGTGCATTCAGTTTCTCTCCAGCCCAGGAACAGATGGTGGCACAAAAGAGGAGTGACTTAAAATCACTTTGTCCTGTTCTCCCCCTCCACCTGCTCCTAATCACAAGCCATCCATACATTTAAATACCAAACAAGAGGAAGGAAAGAGCTTGTGTGCAACAGAAATACCAAACAATGTTTGCATTAGAAAAAAAACCAACTTAGACATGCCTTTCAGCCCCTAGCAGCAGTCCCCATGGAAAATAATGTTAAAATAAACAAAAAGCAACAATTCCTCTCTGACTGATGATTTTATAATATGGTTGGTACTGCTAAATGCATCCAGCCGTCCCTCCCACACTCCTGCTCTCCACTCAGAGCTGTCCCCTTCTTTTAAGGGTGTCTCTTCACCCACTGACATGTGCGCATGAATTCTGTTTCTTAATGATCTTTAAGCATTATTAAGAACAAAAGAAATCCTAATAATGATATAGGCCTATTAAAGGATGACAATGATAAATCATTAATAATGATGCAGAATGGCAGAAATATGCATTTAGCACTGCCACTTCTGCATGTAGAAAGAAGCAGGATGATGTATTTTTATTGAATGAGGATGATGAAGTATTCCCCAGTCTGTTATCAAGCAAAAAAGATGCTAAACATTTATTAGGAAGTTATCTCAAAATGTACACCTAGAAAACTTGAAGCCAAAAGTCCTGTAAGACCTGGCCAAGGTGCTCTCAGGCTTTGCAGTGTTATTTTTTAATAAACTTTGAAAACAATTGTCTTTCCAAAGACTGGTGTGTGATTGATTTGTGTCTCTCCTCACCTCAGCTTGGCTCTATCTTGTGCAGCTCTGCCATGCACTCCAGGACAGGGATAGAAGTTGGCTGGAAGATCCTCATGTCACTACATAGGGAAAAAAAAAGGTGCCTGTGGGGTTGACTCTAAAATACCTGAAGAGTTTTTCTGCAGGTGCTAAAATCAGTTGTGGCCACAGAGGCTACATCTGCAAGGGTGTCACACACATTATCTCTGTGCCTGTGCTCCTGAGCCACGTTTGTCCTGTGTGCCCTGTCCATGCCCCAGAGCCCTCAGGAGAGGCTTCAGACAGGATTGTTGGGATGCCTGAAACGAGAAACTGCCACGCTGCTGCATTTGTGCTATTTGGTGGAAAATTGCCTTAATCAGGGACACTTTGATTCCTAAACTGGGATGTGAGGAGCTGTAAATCAGCGTATTCCCCCTGCTTCTTGCAGACTTACAGGATCTGTGTCAGTGCTGGAATTTGCCACTTCGTTACAGAGCTCCTTCAGCAACAGCCTACCCTGAACGAGGCCCCATGGCCGGCGAGCAGAGGTAGCAATTTTCTCTTCACCGTGGTAAATAGCAAACTCACAGACATTATTTTAATCAGCTCTAAGTGCACAGGAAGGCTCTGTGCAGATAGGTGTGTATTAACAAGGAGCACACTCATATCACTCTGCTAAGTATTTTTGGGTGGCCGGTCAAGCATAGCTGCCTTTCAAACTGCCTCGGAAGGAGAAATATTAATAAACTCCCTGCAGCATGCAGATTTGATTGAATTTCTCATGGATCATAGCCCGCCTGCAGCAGGGTGGCATACCTGTCAAGCTAAGACATTGTTCCATAATTGTTCCTGATGCATTGTGTGCTAATTACCATTGCTGAAAATAATCTCCAAAGATTATGGCAGGCATCATAAATAACAAGCCAGCGGTTCGACACTGCATTATGACAAGGCCTCAATCGCTCTTATCTTTTACTGGAGTGGAGCCTATGCATTAGCTTTACTAATGAATCTTTTTCATTTGTACAAGTGATGTTTCCATTTGACAATGACATGAACATAAAGTGGAGGTTAATTTACTCTATTCCGAGAGGTTCATTATTTAACCTGACGTTGAGGACAAAACAATGTAGCCTAATAGATGGCAAATAGAAATTAGTTGTGATGAATTTTGCCATTTAACACTCTCAGCGGCAGCACACACGGCGAGAGGATGAGTTTGCTTCAGCGGCAAAACCGCTTTATTTCCACAGTTCTGAAAAAAAAAAACAACCAAAACCAAAAAACAAACCCAAGCAGAAAAAGATTCTCCCAGAATCCCCCTGCACCTTGTAAAACACGATGGATTTACACAGACATAAAAACTGCTGGTAACTAATGGCCCAACGTTGTCATTGTGTCAATTTTTATCAGATTAGTTGGCATTAACACTGTATCACCGATTGCCTTACAAGCCAAGCTGCTGTGAATTGGATTGGATTCAGGTAGCTATTAGAATTGCCAATTTAAACACTCGGGGCTTATCTCAGCTTTAAGCCATTGACAAAAAAGGTTCGGTCACTTCCCCAACATCTTCTGACATGTGTGCTCAGGGCGGGCGCTCAGCATCCGGTGGCTGCCTGCACTCATCCCTCTAGGCCTTCAAATGTATCTATTCAACATTAATTTAACATCATCCAATGTGGTTTGAATCAAGCAAATATTTCCCTTGTTTATTGCACACGCTCATTGTGCCGTTTCAAGGAGGTTTATTAATAGTTTGCAATAAATTTGCTAAACAATTTGCAATAAATTATGCAGTCGTATTTATAGCAGTGACACATTTTAGAGGACAAAAGTTGACCTTTCCCATGCCTCAAAGAGAGAAGGGGCAGGGTGTATCCATTACAACCCAGCCTTTCGTAGGCTCATATCCTGGTTCCTCCAGCTCACACAGAAGATAAAATGTATCTGCTCCAAAGCTCATTTAATTTATTTACAAACAAAGGGACATATTCTGTGGGATGCTGTGAATGCTGCTGGGCTGGGTTCCGATGGGCCACAGGAACTGAAACCTGTAGGGTCTCTTCAGAGGAGTTTGCAGGACAAGGAGCCCTTTGGATTTGGGGTTTGCTTGTTTTGTTTAAGCTTTGGAAGGGTTTTTCTGTTTGGGTTCTGTTGTTTTTTTTGATTCATAGCTTGACAAAAAGCAACATCTTGAGAGGAAATGCTCCAATTTCAACAGTACCACGTTTTCCAACAACAACAGAAATGTTCCATTAATTACTTCCAATTCACATCTAATGTTTAGTCAGTGAGAGATGTGGTGATGAGTCTGGGGGTTTCCCCAGTTGTGCCCTGACCCCATCTCACCTCCTGCTCTCAGCTCTTACCTGGCTTCCCATCACAGACACCTCCAGCCCTTCACTTGTGGACCACCAAAGAAGGGAAATCACACAGACAAGTGGAAAGTGCAGCCTCTCACTGCCACCTCTGGAGGTGGCTCACAGCAAAGCTCTGAGCCCTCAACCCCAGGTTTTACACCCCTCTGTCCTGGGGCCATCCTCCTCCACCCTCCCCACTCATCTGGGGACACGGAGTGGAAAGAAAAAAATGTTCCTCCTTATTTTTCCATATTTTTCCAAACATCAGGGCAGCTCAGGTTAAGTCTGTCCTGACAGAGCACCACGGGATCCTCAGCCACCACATGTGGTCAGGAAGTAGTTTTCACACAGAAATGAGAAGTGCCTCTCAGAAGAGGAGCAATTTTTCCTGTCAGGAGGGATCATTTCCTTGGGGGTGACTCAGAATTTGAAGGCTACCACCCCAAAAGCAGAGCCTGTCGAGGGTGCCAGTGGGATAATGAGCTCATTCTTGGAGAGAGGGAACACAGTGGTGAGAAGGAAAGAGCATCCTTCTAGGAACAACTGGGGCAGCAGTTTGACTGTGCCTCGTTTTTACAGCATATTATTACAGCATTACATTCATAGTCAAGGGTCAGCTGCCATTTCCTGGGGTTTATAACTTGCCTGTTTTAATTAACATCAGGCTCAAACTTGGTAGGGAGGTGGGGTCAGCCCAGATGTTAATGTTATTCCAAAAGTGCCTTATATCAGTGGTGTTATTTAAAATATATTAAACAGGGAACATCTAGAGATGTGTCATTTCCAGGGTTGTATTTTAGATAAATTAGAAAGACCGGGCTTTGTTTTGGAAGAACGCAATTTGGGACAGACCTTGTGCCTCTATGAGCAGCTCACCCTTGAGAGACAGGAAGAGTCTGTCCTCTGCTGTCCACAGGGAGCTCCTCTGACAGGACCAGCCAGGAAGGGGGAACAAACACCCCAGGTGTCCTGTCCAGGCTGGTCTGGTGTCTCAGCAGGGCTGATATTAGCTCAGATTTCAGCAGTGGTTTGTGAACTCTGCAGCACACTTTCACTAGCCAGGAGAAAAGGTTTCTCAGGGTTATTGTGCCCCAGGAGCTCTGCCCCACAAAAGCTGACCCCTCATCTGGGTTTTCCACTGTCCCCTGCCCTCCTTACCCTGTGTAGTGAGGAGCTGGCTGTTCAGACAGGCAATAATGCTTTAAAGAGTTGCCTTAAATCCGTGTTCTCCGGTTGCCAGGATGTTTCTGCTGGTACTGAGGGTGCAGCTCCAGCACAGTGCCCACTGGCATGTGGGCAGTATTTGCTCACAGACACAGGGCTGCTGTGGGCAGGCTGTGGAGGGGATCTCAGCTGAACACACAAAGTTCTGTGCTCATTCAGTGTCAACATGCAAGTTCTATGCCAACATTTCCAATGGAGGCACCAGGACTTGGCACCACCTTTTTAGAAACCATTCTTATAGCTGATAATTCAATTAGTTGCTGTTGAAATAAGGGTTTGTCTTCACTATTCTGCTGGTAGGTGGCTGTGGCCAGTGCTGAAGCCTTTTTTCTCTCGAGTTAGAACCTGCAGGGATTCTACCTTAACTCTGAATGCCAGCACTGTTGTGCACATCAACAATTTCCTGCTGGTTTAACCCAGATTTCTGAGCTCCCCAAGTCCATGTTGCATTCTAAAGCTTCACCTGAGCCAGGCTGACTTATAATCTCTCTGTTTCAAAAGCTCTTGTAGCTTTAGGAACAATTTCAGCCTTCTCAATAAAGATGCCATTCCCCAAACCAGCACATCTGCTTAGCCAGCCCCCACCCCTGGATCACACCTCACTTGCTCCTCCATGAGGATCCTCTTTAAGACAGGACCTGGTGCTCTCCAGACACAGAACTAAGTGTGAAGGGGGCACAGGACTTGCCTGAGATGATGCTGGGAGTCTTTGGCAGAAGTAGAAACTGAACACAAGACTGATAATTTCTTGGGCTCTGAACAATTGGCCACCCTTCCCCAAGGTATGGGCTCTTCCTAAGGACTGATAACCTTCCACTTCTGGCTGTGGAGCGGGATGGAGGAAGCAGCCCACAAAATAGCCCTGGCTTGTGAGCCCTCTCACAACAAACAAGAAAGAGAATCAGATGTTTAGCCTGTGGGGACTATTCCCAAAGGGCATAGGAATATTACAACTAAGAGAAGGAAATCTATTTCCAGTTGGCTTAAAATCATTCTGCTAAGGGTTATCTCTCTGTTAGGACAAAAAGTTAGAAATCATACATCAAAGAGGACTAAAAAGTGCTTGTTAGTTGCCATTTACATGATGCTTTTGAGCATTTTGAGGACTGGGCTGCCACATCCCCAGCCTCCTTCCTTTTTTGCATAAATTAAGAGGGAAGTGTCATATCATCAGTCTTGCTACATTTGAATGCCCAGGACTGCACGTTTAGGGACGTATCTGGTACAATAGCTTTTTCCTTTGTGGTAAAGCTACCAGAAGTGCCCCAGGCAAAAAGTGACATTTCTCCAATGCTAACAGAGAAAAATGCTAACAAGCTAATTTTGCCTGTTTTGCTTTAATTTTGATTAGGGACCCACTGGCTACAGGTAAAATCTCGGTGTGATTGAGCTGCAAGTGTGCTGTTTGCTTTGCCTTCACTCATTAGTGAGCAGCAGGAGCAAATGCAGTGGGTAAGTTGATTACAGCTCTTGGCTCCTTTCACAGGCAAGTGGTGAATTCCTGAGGACCACATTCCACCCAGGTGTTATATCCCCTGGTGTCCCACACTGCAGTCACACACCCTGAGATCATGGCTAGAGCATCCCACTGGTTTGGGGCTCAGGGGTGTGATTGTTTCGTTTGGGTTGGGGGGTTTTTTCTCACACAGAAACTTGATAACTTCACCAACTCTTTCCTGGATGCCTTTTAATTGTGTTTACTTTCAGAAACAGCAACATTTGATCATGTGCTGAGAAGCTGCATGTTGCCTTGTAAACTCAGAAATTATTTTCAGGTGTATTCTCTGGGCATTTTTTTTTCTCTCAGAAAATTAAGAGCCCTGTGTAGCAAATACCCAGATATATGGGATTTATGGAGTCCTCCTCATTTTGTTTCCTGGAAACACAAAAGCCCCTTCTGCCTGCTCACATTGGTGGGACTGGAGCAGTGATTTGAAAAGGAACTGAATGTCTGTAGCACAGCACATCAGACAGATGAGGGCACGTTTACCAAAGGAGGACAGGGACATCACTGAACCTGCTCCCACCACCTGCAGGCACTGCTGAATGTGGCAGTGCTAGCAAGATTTTCCTGTATTTTCCTTTAGTGCGTTTTCCAAAAGGCCACAGCTCCCTTACAGAGGGAGAACGTGGAAGGGCATGTGGATGTTTCTGTAAGCCAGAAGTAAAGGTGGAAACAAGGAGCCTTGGTAGCATATGTGTCATAAAACTGTCTGAAAAGGAATGTAGCTTGGTATTTGTTGTTCCTGGAGGTGAAAATATTGCAAGTAGAAGGAAGAAATCTCAACACATGGAAGCATTTGCTGTAAAGAGGCACTGCAGAAATAGCTTTGTATTAACGTGGGAGGTGCATCAGCCCCCAGTGCAGCACCCCTGCACACGAAATGACACCAGAGTCCCTGTGGCCACCCCTAACCTGGAGACTCGTGGCGTAACTCTGTGGAACATTTGGATGCCAGGAGAAGGGTTATCCCCTGGGCAAAATTAACTGGCTGCCAGGGCTGTGAAAGCAGAGGGAGGCTTGGATGGGCTTTTAGTCCAAAATTGTCTCCACCAAGCTGTGGCCTTGTCTTGATGCTCAAATCTGTTTCACCCTTTTCCTTCCTCAATTTCACACTCAGGATCTGAGATGCATCACAAACCTGCACCCCGTAAGAGGAGAGAACTGTGAGTTTTCTGAGCCCAAACAAAGCTTTGACTTTTTTTGTTTAATGTCAGGGGTTATTTTCTAGCTGGCAAAATTTATAAGCTGTTCCCAAGATCCGGGGATGCAGATTCAATAAGGGCAGACAAAAGATTTGAGGTTATGCTCTTCAGAGGGGAGCCTCTTTTGTTTGGTTGGTTTGTTTTTACTCAAAGGGCATTTTTAATTTGTTCCTCTGTTAGCTGTTTCCAAATATATTTGTCTTTGCCATCTTCCTCTTTCCTTGCCTTTCTGGTTCTGATTTTCACAGCCATTAGTAAATACATCACCAGTGGGATCTCCTCTCTAGGATTTATGTTTGGAGTTAAAAATTAATTTCATCCCAGAAAAGAGGATGAAGGGAAAAAGTGCAAGAAAATGAGAAAAAATAGAATAAAAATAATAAGAGAGAAATCACAGAGATATTTGGATGAGACTGAAGAGTATCCTTCATTTATCAGGAGAGCCCTGATGCCATAGATTAACTTTGAGTCACAGTGTTCAAAAACCTGTTGTTCTCAATTTATTAATTGAAATATAGAGAAGATAAAACAATTAAAACCCATATTAGACTGACTAGTAAAACTGTATTCCAGCATTACACAAAAATTGCATATGGATGAAATTGTTGATGTTTGCCAGAAGCAATGGTTGCTCACACAAAGTGCTGGGACATCCTGTAATTGTCTGGTGAAATTCAACCCCAAATTGCCAGAGCTCTGTGCAGACAGGCTGGCATGTGTTTAAATTTGCCTCCTAGCAGATTAGTTTGCATTAGCATTTCCCAGGCACACAGGAACATTACCTTACATGGCTCAAGGAATTTTAAATAGTTAAAAATGCAGGTAAACAAGCTCAGGTGCTGTAGATGACAAGGGCTGGAGGCTGGATCGGGGGGCACTGCTCCCCATCACCTCCAAGCTCTTTCTTTTCCCTCTCTTGTAGGTATGGCAGCTGGATCATCTGTGTGACCACGTCCTGGTGAAGTCATTCATTAAGTAAATGCACTTTAGTGTATTTATTTATTCATTATTTAGTGTATTTATTTAGTGTTAAGATAGTAAGATAGCTTTTACTAAGTTATTTCACTTAGGCAAAACCAGCTCTAAGGATCCCCCATAGAAAAAGCTGAATATTGCAGAGGGAAACAGCCAGATCTGCAGATGCAGGAGATGGCAACGTGCTCAGCCAGCAAAACTGCAGCTAGAGGAGATTGTGTGACCACAGCTTTCTGCCCTGGGGCAGGAAGGGCTTGTCCTTGCCCAAACTCCTGATATTCCTTGCCCAAACTTGATTCCATCAATATAAGTGAACGCTGAAAAGCTGTAAACTTTCCATCCAGTCATTCTCAATTTATTGCATCAGGAGGGAATAAACATCATACATTTTCTACAAAAGATCTACCCTGAGCTGAGCAGGATTTATTTTATTTAGACCACACATTGTGTGGTGTATTTATAAAGCAGAGTACTCTGAAACAGAGTTCTGCTCGGGGAGGTCTCAGCTGAGCCATATATTGAACACACTTCGGCGAGCTGGTGAGTGTCAGTGAAATCTGGAAGTGGCACAAGAAGATGGTCAAGGGGATGGAAAATGGGGTAGGAAATCTGGGGAAGAGTGGGCAGGAGCCTGGAAGTGCTGTTAAACTCTGAGCTGTCCTGCAAATTGTAGGACAGCATCTTCCCAGCATCCCCCTGGCACGCCATGAGTCACTCCTGAGGCTCCACACTGAGTTATCGCCATTTAGAGTGGCATTTCCTTTCAGACTGCACAAAGCAAAGGAGCCATATTAGTAAATTTATTGAGTATTTCATTAGATCAATATGGAGTATGATTTAGGAGCCTCTGCCCAGGCTCTTTAAATCTATTTAATCAAGCCAATTAATAAAAAAAATCTAGAAAGTTGAAACATATCCTGTAAGGTGCATCGTAAATATACTCCCTTACTTAAGCTTTTGATCTCAGCCAGGTAATTAACGGCTTTGGTTAAGTTCAAGTCATTCCCTCATGGCTGCTCGTGGTCATAAAGCCCTGGGGCTATGCATAGCTCATGGATTTATTATGTTTTTTTCCAGTTGCAAAAGCTTTTCTAGCTCTGTTTCCTTTTTCCCCCCTCTCCTTTAATTCCAGCGATGTGGCTCCCCATCCCAGCTACAACTGCAGTGCTTTGTGCAGCAACAGGAGGGAAAGCAGGGCCCTTTTGTCCTCTTCCAGTTTTTGGGAGACCTTAAATGCAACAGAAGCCTGGATATCCCAACAGTTCTGTTTAACCCTCCTCAGTGAAGCATCACCTTCACTTCAGCAGAGATGAGACCAACCCTGCAGGACAAGGACA